CACAAATTCAGTCCCCTAGAGAAAAATGAGTTCAATGGAGGTGAGTTATCCCTCAACAGTGGAGAGGCATGGAAAGTTGCATTTACTTGATATTGGCCAAGTCACTGAAAGGCCCCATCTTATTCTCCCACATCTCTACAATTCCTTGCCTGCAGGCTGTCTCTCCTGTCATTTTGTGTGTGAGAGTGCCCCCTATTGTCCAAACAGCAAAGTCAGCTGCAGTTCAAAACACCTCAGACAGAAAGTTAGACTCAGAAAATGAATTTGTTGTTGGTGGTGATGTTTTCCATTCACACTATTAATCGGTATTAATTTTACCGAATAAGGGTTTTAACTATGATATTACCACCCACGAGATGTCCTTGACCATGGGAACCTCTCTGTACTCTCTCTTCTCCCCGTCCCACTCCTGCTCCTCTTCCCACATAGTCTCCCTTGTACTTTAGTACCTTTTAGAGTCTGTGTTCTGCTTCTGAGAGTAAACACACAATGTTTGTCTTTCTGTATCACTCCACTTATTATAATGCTCAGTTCCTCCCATTTTCCTGCAATGATGCATTTCATTCATCCTTATGGATGACTAAACCTCAGTGTAGACTGAGGATGTAGTAAGCTGGATTGTTTACATGTGTGTAACAATGTATTCTGATTGCATATACCTCCCCTCCCTTTGTCCATTCCTTGCTCTTTCCTGCCTTTTCTTCTCTCTCTCTCTCATTAATTAATTAATTGTGACCCACTGGGTCTAGTGCATGCTGCCTGTTGGAGAATGGGTGGCCTTGTTGACTTGATCTTGGGCATGTACCGACACCACAGAGAGGTCATGACTGGGTTGCCTTGTCAGGTCCAAACCACAGCATTTCTTGGTCCTCCTCCCCGTCCTCCCACTTTTACAACATTTTCAAGAATTTATTTAGTTTGGTTTTATGTGTATGTGTGTTTTGCCAAGGTGTGTGCTTGGTGCCCACGGAGGTCAGGAGAGGATTCTAATCCCTGGACCTGGAGTTGCAGAGGGTAGTGAGCTGCAGGTCAGTACAGTGAAGCAAACCCGAGTCCTCCAGAAGAACAGCAAATTCTCTTAGACACAACCTATTTCTCCAGCCTCCAGCTCTCAGCTCTGACATTCCTCACGTACTGTCTTCTACACGGTTCCCAGATCCTGACAGGCCCGGCCAGATGTATGTTCCATTTAAGGAAGAGCTCTCAGTAGTCAAATATTCCCGACACTTGGAGCAGTGATGGGTCTCTGTACTAACCACTGCCCACTGCAGAGAGAAGCTCTTTAGGACAAGGTTGGGTATAGCAGTAACCCGAGTATATAACCATCACGGGAAAGTTGTGTTTAAAATAATTCTTATCTTTATTTATTTGTTTGTATGTATGCATTGCTGCTTTGCCTGCATGACTGTCTTTGCACCACATGTCTGAGCCACCATGTGGATGCAGGGTATTGCACATGGGTCCTCTGGAAGAGCGCCAGTGCTCTTAACTGCACAGGGATCTCTCCAGCCCTGTTGGGTTCTGCTGACGTCAGCACTCACTGTCCTAGTGTGGAAGGATGGCTACTTTTCCTGCAATCTGTCATGTTGAACAGGGAAAGGGAAGCTCTACTGCAAGATGAAGTTACCCTGATTCTGAGGACTAGTCTAAGGATAGATGGAAATCAGGAAGGTAACTTTGGAAAATAAATTAATTAATTAAGTATCCTATAAAGAAACGAAACAGGATTATTAAGGCTACACTACTAGAATTTTAAAAAATATTTGGAAATATCTGATACCAGACTGAGTAGACAGAAGAACAAACCTGTAAATTGAAGTAAAGACCATTGAAACCACTTAGCCTGGGAGCATGCAAAGGGACTGAAGAAAACACACTGAGCCCAACATTGTGTGAATCACCATCACCCAAACTAGCATGGTAATTGTTTCTGTCCCCAAACCCTGAAGTCAGAGAAGAGTGGAGAAATTATTTGAAGAAATAATGGCTGGAAACACTGCAGTGTTGGTGAAAGATGTGAATAGACAAATGTTCACAGAGCCCTCTAGTCAACTCAAGTGTTCAAGGAACATTCTCTGGAGTAGACTGCATGCTAAGCCAGGACATTTGAAAGACTCATCTATGGAAACTAATAGCATGTCATAGTGGGAAGAAACTAGGAAGCAGCCCAGAGGGAAAGTCAGGAGCACAGAGGGTCCTGGGATGGGACAGAGCAACTCCTGAACAATGGCACAAACAAGACTTCATTTGATTAGAAAATAATGTCCCAAGAAATGAGAAGAGAAAATCAAGACACCAGAACATAAAAGTCACACCAGGAGGGAGATTTAGAGTGGGGGACACCTACATTACAGGAGAAAGGGGCTGTGCTGTGCCTCCTGGAGAATGCATCCCAACCACTGTAGGGAATGGATATCATGGGATATGCTCACACTCAGTGAGTCAAGCCAGTCCCAGAAAGACAAATCTCAGACATTTCCTCTCAGTTGTGGTTCCAAAAGTATATAGATTATATATCCATAAAACCACATGTGTGTATAAGATGAACTTGGAGGTGAAATTGTATAAGGGGACACAGTAGACAGCTGAGATGGGGACATCA